ACGCAATTCGTGCTGAGAATGGTAGAGTGTACACCTCTGGTACAGTTAGTAACTTATTGTGTAAGTATCTTTAAATACGTTTCTCCTACATATATCTGACTACTTTTTTTTTTCTTCTCTCTTTTTCTAGATATTGCAAGTGGTAGTACATGTGACTGGGCATACGATATTCTTGGTATTATATGGTCATTCACAATTGAATTGCCACCAACGTCAAGTAATTCTGCAACTGGTTTTGTTTTACCACCAAATTTAGCACCTGAAGTGTGCGCTGAAACCTACAAAGGTTTAATTAAATTTTTAACCGGTGTCAAATCGGAGGTTACCTCTTCTAACTAATGTGAATGAACAATTCTAAGTCCAATAAATTTGTGATGACTATACATTTTTAGCTAATGTTAAATATATCGCAGATATTTTCATTTTTTAGATCTATGGTAAAAATCTTTCATCTTATTATGAAAAACTAATGAATATTTGACTACAGTTTACCCCATTTTATACTATAAAGATCAGAGCCTAATTAAAAACAAAATGACTGGCAAAAACTAATCAACCATGCGATTAAGTCGATTATAAACTAATTTATTCTTCTTGAAAAACTTTCAATCTATCATATTTCGGTATCTTGCATATATAGCAAATGACTTGCAAAATTAATAATTTTTGTTGAATCGTGCCTTAAAGACAGTTTTTCTTCTTAATTGATTTCCTTTGTAGATGTTGCTTTCTCGGCAAAGAAGAAAAAAAAGACGAAGAGTTCATCATATTTGACGTTGTCTTTTAAAATAAAAAATTTTCTCTATAGTTCTCACGTATTCCTTCGACAATAATGACATTGGGACTAACAGTATTTCCTATCTTTATGTTAAAACAATTCTTTCATACTTTTAAATGTATGTTGTTTTCCAATTTGCACTAACGATGTAAAAAGAATACAAAAAATAACAACAACAATAATAAATATATATTCACATATAGCAAATTTGTTTTATTTTATCCTCATAATTCATTCTCAAAGTTCTTATTTTGTTCTTTGATCCAATAAAAATTCTCTATACATATTTTTATAGGCAGACAAAAAAATAGGTTAAAGTCTGTGCCACTTTCATTCAATGTGCTAATACTCTGTAATTGTTTTTTCAATCGTTTCCTGAGATATTTTTAATAAAAAAAGACCTATATAGTTCTAATGAACATTTTTCAATTAGAAAATCTTTCGTCATTGTTCGTCATTTCTATAGGCTTTTCTTTTCTTTCTTTTTTTATATCAAGAGAGGGAAATTTTATATAGAAGAGATAAAGACCGTTAGTTTAGTGTTATATCGACTAATAGCAACAGCACATACTAGAACAAAGTGTACTCATTGTTTAAGTAGGAAATCTTTTCTTTTTTTTTTTTGAAGTGTTACGACCATCTGTTACCGAGCATGAGATTAGCAACGCTCTGTTTTATATGCGATAAACATTAAAGAAGCGGTCTAACGTTCTCACCTACATACAATTCTAGAAAATGAAACTCTTTAGGGTAAGTTGTGAGAGAAAGGCTAAAACGAATTTGTAGCTGAGGAGGCGTCTCTATTGAAACAACTCAATGTTTCTAATACTCGAACAACTTCAAATTCTTAAATGGAACGGTGTTCACTGTTTAACTGACTATTTGTGTGTATATTCTTTTAACATTCGATCATCTATTTTAGAAATATACGAGATCTTAATGAGAAACGTGCGGTGAAAGGGGGCTGGAAAACACTTTACTCTTTGTTTTTTATGAGTATATTTGATTTTTTATAACACAAATAAGAACTTTTCTCTCCTCATTCATTAAATACAGAAGTGGTAGTATAAAGAAATTAGATCAGTTTTCTCTTCAATATAGGAAAGTTTTTTAATGTACCTAACAATGTGTTAATAGCTTTTTAAAAGTTTTAATACACATAAAAAGAAAAAAGTTTTATTTTTCTATTCTACTAATTCGAGTTTAACTTTTAAGAGCAATATTTTTATTAGATTTATCGGTTTATTATTTGTCGGTTGTTCTTTTTATTAAATACATTGTTGGCGTGCGTATATCACAGATATAGTTAGACTAGTTTCGATAAAGAAACGGGGAAGAAAAAGAAAACTTAGAATTTTTTTCCATAAATTATTGTCAATATTCAATAAAAAAATCAAATAGAGTAGTATAGACTAATTGTCAGTACAACTAAAATGACTGGTATGTGCTAAATTAACTTTGTTACGAGAAAATGTGAGTGAATTAATTAATAATTGATACATTTTGTGTCAAGAATCTCATGTTCAACCACTTCTACGAATTGCTGTCAACACGGATTAACTAATTAGAAACTATAAAAAGTACCGTCTTTTGAATAAAAATAATTTGGATAAATATAGTCATACAGCTATTTTTTTGAATTGGATGACTTTCATTAAAAAAAAAAGCTTCCATTAAAACGTTTTTTTTAATGAAAGGATCGGTACTTTTATTTAAAAATTTTTAGCAGGAGTTCCATTAAAATTTTTTATTGGTACAAGAATTTTATCTAATATATATATATATATATATATACTGCTTAGGAAAAGGTATCTGTTTCACTTCGTTTATGTATCCCTAAGCGATACATACGTATTTTATTTCCACTTAAATACATCTGTTTTCGGATCTTTAACTTATATTCTGTTCATTTAACTTTCATTAAAATGTTTCGTGCAAAATGACTATGACCTGAAGTTTCATAAAAACTTTTTGACGACACAAGAATTTCATTAAAAATTTTAATGAACTTCCTTTTAATAAAAGTTTTTTTAATAAAACTTTAATATCCTCTAATTATTTATGGGATAGTTAGAGTCACTACGATTAAAATATACAAAAACGACAAAGTTCGAATGTCATCAACTCATTGAGAGCGATATTATTAATACTATATTTTAATAAGACAGTTGTAGAAAAGATTTCTCCATATTGCATAGATTTTCGACAGAACTTTTTTCAATGAAAATTGGATAAACTATATTAGAAATAGAACGGAATTTTTAATATCTAACAATAATTACCTATCTTATTCTATATGCTAATAAATAGTAAAGAAATATGAAATGAAAGGGTGATATGTTAGCGTATATGTGTAATCTTCAATCTTCAAATGACAATTTATTTCCTATTATCATTTTCTTTTCTTCTTTTTTTGCTTCTTTTTACCATTGTGTTGAATGTTTTTTTTTTTTATAGATCTGTTTATTAAATTTCCGGAGTCAAGTCGAGAAAGACAAGAAGAAAAAAAAAGGGAAAAAAATTTCTAATAAGAATAATTGTTGTTGTTGTTATTATATTGTGACAAAACAATGATAATATAATTTTTTTTCTATTGTATGCCTATGCAATACGATTTTTGGCATTATTACTATATTTATTGGAAAATAATTCTCATGTTTAAACAAATTCGGTATTTAAAAGAAATTTCATTTTTTGACATATATTTTGTGTATTGTATTAATTACTTTAGATCAAGTCAATGTCATCATCTATTTCATAATGAAAATCAACAAGCAACAACGACAATAAATGACACAGTAATAATACTTTTTTTTATCTATTTATCATAGTTAACTATCGTTCACTATTTCATTTTTTTAAGAATAAAATTCAAACACAGTTTGAATATTTCAAACAATATAAAGATAATAAAGTGATGTACGATATGATGAATGACATACGAAAAAATTATCTTGATTTTGATTATGACGATGATGAGGAAGATGATGTTGACATTGAAAGTCAACAAAATTTTTTTGATGAATATAATCACGTAGACACAAATCATAGTCAAATAATCAATCAAATGATGAATGAACATATTTTTTCTGATGGAACCATTAGTTATCTGCAAAATTCAGTTACAATACAACAAAATAAAGGTATTTCATTGATATATTTTTTGTAATTCTACTTTGTTTTCTCTTTTTGTTGATATGACGAATACGACAACGAAAATATTACAATTAATCGACTATACACGTGAGTACATCAATGTTCAACTACGATAAACTGTTCATCGAGAACTGATTCAGTCAGAAATAGATAAGAAATGGACAAAGATAAACGAACGTTTAATTTAAGTAAAAGTTATTCGATTCTTTTAGAATTCAATCTCATAGATTTTGAGTTCGTCTCTTCCACTTTCGCTAGAACATATTTATAGAATTTCAGTAAACCGGTTTGTTAGTAGACCACAAATTGATCATACACAACATTTTCATTTGAATTGTGAGACGTTTTTAAAGAAAAACAAAATTAAAGTTTTACAATGAAACAACGATTAAATATGAGACGTATTTCTGTCTTCATTTTTCGATCGACCTCTTGTTGCATTATAAAATTTTAATTCAATAAATTATTTTTATTTAAATACGAAAACGTGCATGAAATAAGCATATTTTTTCCACCTGCTTATCAAATCTAATTTTCATGTGTGAATCACTAAAAAATGAAATGTGCATTTTCTTTCAGAGAAAAATATTATGTCACCTTCGTCGACAAACAACTGTGCAAAAATTTATTTATATCAGAAAATGTTTTGGACATTCTTCTTTTTTTTTCTTTTTCGATTATGTTAAACAATAGACAATCTTCTTCTAATCTCTATGTATTTTTTTGTACTCTCACTTGTTTTGGCCATATTTTATCTTTTCATTGATAAGCAATAGAGACAAAATATTTGATTTAAGTAATTAAGTACCATCCATCAATGTCACATCGTCGTAGAATCTTAATAATTCAATTTCAAAAGACATTCAATAGCAAACATAGAAATTTGATAAATTATTTTTTCAAACAATAAAAATTGTAATATAAAAAAATAACCTTTCCAATCTTACTAACATCTGACATTTACTTTTTTTTTCACTGAGTAAATATTTGAAAAATATTATCCAAAAACATATGTTCGAAATATATTACATAAAATACAACATTGATTATCTAATATTATTCCCATTTAAATTAAACAACTACTTTTCGGTTTTGATCGTTCTTCGAGATGTTTCCAAATGAGCTATTTAAACAAGATGGATAAAGTGTTAGTTTTCATATCCTATCTCACAAAACAGATGTTATATACTTACATTACAAAATTCTTTTAATAGATCTTTTTTAGATTGTAAATGTTCATCATCATCTTCTTGCATAAAGTCAATTGTTTCATAAACTTCTGCTATCTAAAAATACTAATTATTTAATTACAGCACTATTATAAATAAAAATAATAACATATATAAAATGGAACCAAAGAGTTTAAGAATAAAGTTTTTTCTCATGAATGATAGCAGTTAAAATAAATCTCCGGATAAATTGGTCTAACGCTGACTTTTATGTGTATATACGCATTATTAAAAAAGTATTTTAAGTTAAGTTTTAGCCGTTTGGCAAAAAAATCATAATCACTGGAAATCTTACTTTTTTAAAAAAACATGACAGTATTTTTTTTTCCATCATTTGGGAAGGTAAAGCAAAGATTTCTCATCAAAATGAGATGTTTCATACCTCGTCATGATCTTTTATCATTGAGATACCAAAAGTCATACAAGCAAAATTCCAACTACATGTTAAAAAAATGAGCTGCCGTTAGGGCGTGGCCACCTAACGACTTACTTCAAATCAGAAGAATCAAAAATTTTTACCTAATTAAATCGAGAGGCACATCACTAGATACAGTTTTTCACGTGTGATTACGAAAATCAACTTTAAAATTGATAAAAATTAAAAGTTCATGATAAAAGGTTTAAAATGTTTTAATTTCAATTTCTTTGCTTAGGCATTTTCTTGGAAAAAATTCAAAACATCTCATTTTGATGCGAATTCTTTGTTTCACTTTCCTAAATGATGGGAAAAAAAACAGTGACATGTTTTTTAAAAAAGTAAGATTTTCACTGAATATGAGTTTTGGGAAAACGTTTTTTGCCAAACGGCTTAAATTTACGTTAAACTTTTTTTAATAATGAATATATACACATAAAAGTCAGTGCTACACCAATTTATCCAGCGATTTATTGTGACTGCTATCATTCATGAGAAAGAGCTTATTCTTAATCTTTTTGGCTCTACTTCACACACGCAGACTCTACCTTGATAGCATCAGCCATATTTTGAAGGCTAACTTGTTGTTGTAATGGATCATCATGATCACTTGTTGATAAATTTTTAAACAATTTATGTTTACAATTTGTTTCCGATAATAATTCTGTTGAATGTGTTAAACGATCGTAGATTGTTTTATCATTCAATTCAATTGGCGTAATGGTATCGGAAAAATTGACATGATGTTTGTAGGGCGTTTGAGTGGATACATCACATTTTTTCTATAAACGAGTATATTCGAAACTGATAAGTTTAGTCGTTCTTCTTCTTTTTACTCACTTGAAAGTCTTTGTTTGGGATGCCTTCAGGAATCAAAAAAAGAAAAGAAAAGATTAAAACTCTATTACAAATGGACGAGCAAATAACGTACGATTGACAATATTTTTTAAATATTCATTTTCTTGTATTAGTTTTGTCTGTCTTATTTCTAATTCTGACAATTTTGTTTGATACACAGCAATTTTCTGTCCCATTTCTTCAACTACCGAATGACCAAATTGTTTATACTTTTCGGCTAATTGATGCATGTTTTTTCTTTCATTATCAAATAATAAACATAATTCTTTCAATTCATCATTATTAGGATTAGTATCATCAAATGTGTCAGCATAGTTTTTAACCATTGTTGGTGACAACTTAAACATAGACACATATATACACACACACACACACACACACACATACACACTTGTTGTTCAATAGTGTTAAAATATTTAAATAGTATCACCTACTTTTGACATTTCACATCGGCTGACAAAAGATAATTAAATCTGAAAAGTTTATGCAATCTATGGAGAATGAAATTTGTCATAGAGAATCTTGCTTAAAATAAAATAAAATCCTATCAAATAACTTAAAGTTTATTTTAAAATATAAATTACGTATAGAACAAAAACAACAATGACTTTCAATTTTTGAAAAAAATTACATTATTCACTGGTGATAAATGTTTATAAGGTACATGTTAGAACAAATTCTTTGATGATGTTTCAGGTAAAACTATTGTCCAAATACTACCGATAATGAGTACAACTGAAATGATAATTAATGGATAAACGCAATTATTATCAATCAAATTACCAAATAGAATATTTCCAATGATTGCCGCTAGTCGAGAAAATACGGTGCCAAGTCCAATAGCTGATGATCGAATATTTTGTGGAAACATTTCTGTTCCAATACAATCAAGAGCATTAAAGGCAATTGATGATACACTACTGAATAAACACATTAATAATATAATTTCTAATCGTGTTTTAATAAATAATATAAGAAATACAGATATTCCCGATAACAATAAACTTGAACCTAGGAAAAATGGATAGCAAAAAAAGTGAATAATACACACAATATTATTTTAATAATTACCTAGAAACAACTTTCGTCCAAATCGATCAATAAAAATAATAGTCAGAATATTTCCTGGTAAATTAGCAGTACTTGTAATAAAACTATTTATAAATACATTTGTTGCTGGTTTACAATGTATAATTGATGAACCATTTGTCAAATTATGTTTTTTTAAAGAACAAACTGATTTTTGACCATCTGATTGTTCAAAACGATCATATAGTTCTGGTAACCACATCCACAGTATATAATATCTTAAATTAATTTAAAATTAATTTTTATAAGATCGTTATTCTAGAATTGTCTGTCTCTTTAAATCGTTTACAAGGTCAATAAACTATTTACCCGAACGAAAGTGCAAACATTATACACAAATAACTGATTGTTTTTCTTATGGATGCACGAGTGAAAAGACTGGATAAGCTACCGTGTGATCCTCCCTAGATACACAAAGTATATAGTCATAAAAAGTGGAATAATATCGAATGCTACGGTACGCTTACACGACAAATCATTTTTCTAAAAACTTGTGCATATTTTTGACTGTTTGTTCTTTTGGATGATAGTAAATCTGCGGATGGTGCTAATTGATCCAGCTAAATATAATCACATGTTTTATTCAATTTGTACATCATGTTTTTATAAGTCTCATACCAAATCTTCATTGAGAGAAGGTAAACGTCCATTTGTCTGATAAATTTTTCTATAGATAATTTTTGCTTCCTCAAATTGTTGTTGCTAGAATTATTTAAACTTTTATTTTTTTGCGTATGTATTGAATAATAACAATTAATTTACGTCTGTTAAATAGCGGACACTCTCGGGTAGACTAAAAAATAGAAGTGCAACTAGTAGACTTGGTAATGCCGAAAGTAGAGTGAATAATCGCCAACTATTTGACCATTTTAATGGAAGAATAATCCAACCCAGACCTAAAAACAAGAAAATAAGTATATAATAAACATTTTTTTGCAAAATAAACGGATGTAAACATAACTGCAACGAGCATATTTCCAACCATCCAAAATGACGCCAAAATACACAACATTCGTCCTCTTGTTTTACATGGCATAAATTCAGCAAAATAAGCCCAAACAATTGGTATTGATCCTCCAACACTTTAAAATACTTTGATAAAAATATCGCGTATTCAACTGACTGGTAGTTCATTTACCCTATACCCGACAAAAATCTGCATGATATGAATAATCCATAGCTTGGTGCTATACTTGAAACACCACCAAATATTGCATTTACTATTAATGACGTAATCAAAGTAGAACGACGACCAAATGTATCAGCAATAATACTCCAAATGTAACCACCAATGAGCATTCCTTAAGAAAAAATTAAAATATAAAATGGATTAATATTTAATAATTAATCAGAAAAGAAGTAACATAAATTCCAACAAAACATGCAAGTATACCAGATAGCTTATGTAAAAAAAGATTGATTAACAGAATGTCTGATGAAAAATTAAATCATTTATGTAACATTTTTCAAATATTTATTCAACTCACCTATGAAAATAGATGCATTTAAATAGCCTTTTTTTGTCGCATCCAAGGACAACGCACATTCGGCTGATGGCAATAGAAAACTAACACATATAACTTCGATTGCATCGCTTGCATTCGCTAAACCACACACAATTGTTAGCCAAATATGAAATCGTCCAAGACCTCAATAAAAAATAAAATAAAATAAAATTAGTCTTAGCGTTATGAAGGGATAAACAACAAATATATTACCTGCATTGCTCATCAAAACGTCATGAACATTGTTTGACAAAAGCGACGTATCTGAAGAAACAACTTTAATATAAAGCTTTTGACAAATAAATATGCCTTATGTACCAAAAAGAATCAGTTCTAATTCCACACAATTAATAAAAAATAATAACAATTAAATAGTACCCGAAGTTGGTCCAACGGATTCGGTTTCATCGGTTGGTTGAATAACATATTCAGCGTTCGTCATATTTCGAAACGACGGATCATTATACACACGGCGCATCTAATGGAGATAGTCGAAATTATTTAAATTATGATGATTTTCGTAATCTTACGGTGAAGTTTGTTAAATTATAAACAAAGTATGCAGCATACTGCAGACGATAAAAAATAGATTAATGACCTTTAATAAAAGTAAAACTGATGAAAGAAAATGATAGATTCTAAAAAAACGAAATAATTTAGTCTTTCAATAGCAAACCGGCTGTATCGATCTAGAGTTATTTTCATCATAAAGGATATTTTTGTTTCACCTACAGCATTTCAGAAGCATTCTTTTTTCTGCCCTTTGGATGACTTTAAATTTTCGTGATTAAATTAGTCTTAGTCTTTATATATTCTGAAGGTTATATTTTAAAATTACTAAGCTCTTTGTGACTGACTCTTCATACTCCCACTTGACTCCTAACATATCCAGGAATCTTCTGATCTTTCCTGCGTAACCTTGGCAGTATTTTAACATATTTTCCATTAGCTAAAATTTTGGACTAAAGAAGAATGAAGTAAGCAATTAGTTTGTCATCACATTACCAGCCTTATTCCTACAACAATCTGCATTGTATCAAAACCCTACAAAATATACTTTAGAAATGTAAATAGAAGAACAGAAGAGAAAACAAAATGATAGCAAAAAGGTGTCTTGACCGCTGTACGCATAACATTGTATCAGATAGTAAATGATTTTTATTGTTTGTCAAAGCCGACACGTAGTCTTACTGTAAAAAGGTTTTACATTGCAAATGTAAAAAAGTCACGGATGAAGTGTGGTAAACAAACTTAAACATCGTCCAAAATGAACGTCGGATAAGGGACATACCACGCTTCATCCGTGTTCGTACTATATGTGGGCTACATTTTTATGCACTTAAAATATGGTACTGCAATTCTATGGGATCTATGTTTCACCATCGTATAACGAGTAGAGCGTTCTTGTACTACACTTAAAGTGTGGATCAACCACGCTTCAAGTGCGGCACGGCTATGTTTTGAAGTGCAGAATCAGTCTACTATTCCACTTTTTGAATCATCAGCGTACCAAAATTGAAGGTCCATAAATTTTTTACAGTGATATACTTAAAGTAGTGCAATTTCTACACTTCAAGCGTGAAATTTTAACACCTTAACTTAGAATATTCCCACTGCCAAGAGAGAATTTTACATTGAAAAAGCCTTTCTAATGAAAAGACAATAATTCCACCCTATTAATCAATCAATCATTTGCCAACTTTTCGTGCTTCTGACACCGTAAGGTCTTTCCACTTACTAAAGACCAAAAGTAAAACTGAAAAATTCAAAAAAAAAATAGAGAATATTATTTATTATTCGATAAATGTATAAGAAAATAAAAATTAACTCAGACCTAGACAAGAAATCTTTAGTTAAAAACGACGACTAATTTTGTTATAATTTAAGCATTCATTAAACCCTTTGATGTTTTTCTAAATAACTGAAACAGTTGATGACGGCCGACTACAAAAAACCAGTTGATTAGAAGCCAGACCTTCAACATAGAACAAACGAAACAAAGATGGTGTCTATCGTCGCACGCTTGAAGTATAGTACGGATGCCGCAATAGTGTTTCCCTGTTTCAAGTGCAAACCCTAGTGAATGTACTCAAGTGTGAGTACTCTGCTAGAAAAACCGGACGAGTACTCATACGTACTCATACATTTTTTTACTCACTGAGTACTCACCTGAGTACGACTTTGAGTACTCATGCTCGGGTATTGTTGAGTACTCATACCACTTTCGGCAAAATACTCATGAGTATTGTTCATCTGATATTTTCACATAGAGGAGTGATCTCAGGTAGCCAGAGTAGGACTACAAGTCCAGTCATAGACAAGTCTATCTCTGACTATATATAGAGAGACCAGTGAGAAAATAATAATATAAATATTCTGTGTTTCTTCACTAAATTCTACATTCTTTATACAGTTTCAGTTTAGCAAAATAAAATGGTGAATGAATATTTCCTGAGTACTCACATGAGTAACTGAGTACTCACTGCGTAACAATACTCAGAAATTGTTAGTAGTACCAATATGAGTACTCATGGACGAATTATGAGTAAAGTCATACTCATCGGATGAGTACTTTCACTAGGGAAGAAATCATACTTTACACTTGAAGTATAAAATTCTACGGATAACATGTAATATTAACATGCTTCATAGACCGTTTTTCCTTAAATAGTAGCTCCAAGGAGTTATTCTCCTTGAAGCTAAAAGAAAACAACGTTCATGGAAAATTCTCAAGTGTGGTCGTCCTACATTTCATCCGTAGAATTTTACATTTGGTCTGTGTTTTATGGGGCAGTGCATCCTGTCGTTGAAAGAAGTTACCTGCTATTAACAGCTGTTCTTGGCAGATAACTTCTGACAACGGGCATCCTGTCTTATTCTATCCCACGAAAAAAGTACCATTGTTTATTGGATAGAAAATCAGCCACTAAAAACACCAAATTTTGTTGTTACTACGTAACGATTGGGCTGAATATAAAGTAAAAGTTTTTGTTGAATTTAACCATTGAATGTATTTCTGGTCATTAAAAAGCATATAGCTTACGACTATCGAGAACACTTTTGACTAAACGTTGGTCTTTGTGATTGGACTTTCCGACTCCCATTCACATTTACTTTTAAACATATTTACTTATAATTATTTGAGTATAAAACACAAGAAAAGAAATAATGTAGTATTGATATAAGATTTCTTTTGTGAAAACTGTATTCGTTAATTTCAGAGCCATTTTCAAACATCCGGCTTTCAGAACATGAGCTTGCTTTTACTAGGAAAAAAAATGACGATAATTATGTCATATTAAAAATTCAGTTAAAAGTCTCGTCGTAATTGAACATTCAATATATTACAAACCGTCCTAAGCATCATTGTAATTTTCAATGAAGTTTCCCGATTTATCTATAAGCAATCCTCTACGTTTACGTGAGTTAATTCGATTAATTCGTTCGGCAAAAACAGCAGCTGAAGAAAGAGTGATTGTTTCCAAAGAGTTGGCTCATATCAGAGATTCATTTCGTGTTGAAGATAATACATGGCGTTGTCGGAATGTAGCCAAATTACTTTACATTCAAATGTTAGGTTACGACGCTCATTATGGACGGGTATAATTTGTCGATTTTTTTTCTTTAACAACTGAATTTCTCTTGTTTCCTTTCCGTAGCTTGAATGTATAAGATTGATTGCATCTCAACGATTTACAGATAAGCGCATTGGCTATTTGGGAGTAATGTTACTGTTAGATGAAAAACAAGATATTCATGTATTAATTACAAATTCGTTAAAAATGTATGTAGATGCCAGAGTGAAAGTACTAAAAAAACGTTAATATTCAACAAGTCTAATTTTGTATCTGAATAATTCACTGATACTGATAAGTACTTAAGAGTTCATAGCTTATTCGTGACTAATAAATCGAACACTTAGCGCATTGATGAAATGTTAAGCACTCGGAACATCTTTACAGAGGTGAAGAATCTACCCGTTTGCTGGGACAGCATCAAAGCAATCACATTGTTGTTGTTGTTTCTCTGTTTAATGCCGAGGAAATTTTATTGTAACTTTTTGTCGTATGGAAAATTTTCTAATCTCACTGGTAGATTCTGCACCTCTGCTTTTTTGTTTCGAAGCACTTATTGAGTAAACTTTAGTATTTCCACTAACGTTATGAACCTATGCAATATATATGTGTTGGTATTTTTAGTGACCTTGTACACACAAATCAATATATTGCTGGTTTAGCATTGTGTACGCTTGGTAAATATTTATTCAAACGTGTTTTCCTTTTTTGATGCCAACTCTTTTTTTTAAGCCGCCATAAGTTCACCAGACATGTGTCGAGATTCGGCTGGTGAAGTTGAAAAATTGATAAAATCATCAAATCCGTATATTAAAAAGAAGGTGACCAATTATTGTTTAAAAAGAAAATGGTTAATAATAAAGTTATTTGTTCAAAAATAGGCTGTATTATGTGCTGTTCGCATGATCAGAAAAGTACCAGAATTAATGGATATATTTTTACCATCCGTACGAGGTCTTATAACAGAAAAAAATCATGGTATGAATTGACAAAGAAAATTGTTTGTTAGTATTTCAGTTTGATCTCAATCTTTTTTTTCTCTTAGGTATATTGTTAACAGCGACGGCACTTATAACAGAAATGTGTTACAAAAGTACAGAGGCATTACAACATTTTAGAAAAGTAGTTTTGTTAGCTCGTCTGTTTCTTTTAATATTCTAATGTTTTCTCTTTTTTACTTGATCTCAGTTGGTACCAAATCTTGTTCGTATATTGAAAACTTTAATTTTGTCCGGCTATAGTCCTGAACACGATGTTTCTGGAATCAGTGATCCATTTTTGCAAGTATGTGCTAGTTTTCAACCTAATATTTTACACACATTTCTAGTGAGAATCTTGCTTTCTATATACATAGGTTCGACTATTACGATTAATGCGCATTATAGGAAAAAATGATACGGAAGCCAGTGATACGATGAATGATATTCTTGCTCAAGTATGTATATTACTGCTATTCGTAGAATATGTAAAAATTGATTGAATATGTTTCTTAGGTAGCAACAAACACAGAAAATAGTAAAAATGTTGGCAATGCTATACTGTATGAAGCTGTTTTGACCATTATGGATATTAAATCCGAATCTGGTCTACGTGTAAGTGTCGTTTCTTTTATTTGAGCTATTTGCGTGTCATTTTTCGAATTTTTTAGGTACTGGCTGTTAATATTTTGGGGCGATTTCTTATAAATAACGATAAAAATATACGGTATGTATTTCAATATTGTTCTAAACTGGTAGAAAAAATATATTTTAGTTGTTTTTTCAGCTATGTTGCATTGAATACACTTTTACGGGTTGTGCACGTTGATAATAATGCCGTACAACGTCATCGATCAACGATTGTTGAGTGTCTGAAAGATGCCGATGTTTCAATTAAAAGGTAAAAACAATGCTTTAGTTGGATTTATTACTTTTGATATAGTAGCATTTCTACATCGCATGTAGAAGGTATAATAGAAGGAAATCTGACAAGAATTTAGATGTTTTTCATTATAATAAGAAATATATTGGAAACTGAGAGGGGTCTTGTGCATAGTTACTGAATAGTTTTATTTTATTTTTGGTGTGATCTTTGCGTACTCTGATTTAGACGTGCAATGGAATTATGTTTTGCCTTGATCAATGCAAACAATATTCGAACAATGACGAATGAAATGTTTACATTTTTATCTATTTGTGAATTAGATTTTAAAGCTGATTGTACATCAAACATGTTTCTAGCCATCGAACGGTATTTTTAGTTTTTGCTTTTTAAAGTAGTTTTTTTATTAAGATTTCGTTGATTTTATTTAGTTTTGCTCCATCGAAGCGTTGGCATGTCGATCAAATAATGAAGATTTTAACTACCGTGAGCCTCTTCATTCTCTTTGTATTTTTGATAAGTCATTGGTTATCAATTTCAGGCTGGTAACAGCGTTCGTGATGATATTGTTTCAAGTCTAATTGGAATTATATCCTGTGCACCAGATTTACACGGCTATATTACTCAACAGCTATACAAACTAATTAATGATAGTATAACTCAACAGCCACTCGTCCAAGTAGCGTCATGGTCGTTAGGTAAGATTAGTTTTTCAATAATAAGTCGAACCATCACTTTTATTTCTCTTGTTCAGGTGAATACGGAGATGTAATTACATCCGGTCAACTTGAAACCGATGACGACTCCGCCCATGTATGTGTATGATGTTGATGTCGCTGAAACATAATATAATATAAATTTTTTTTCATAATAGATCAATGAAGCTGATGTTGTGAATGTATTAGAAAAAGTGCTCAATTGGACTCTCAGTACAATTGTTACACGTGAATATGCAATTAATGCACTAATGAAACTAAGCACTCGTTTTCCGTCTTGTTCTGAGTAAGCTTTATTTCGTCTTGCTCTTTCAATTATTAATATATTTTTAAAAAGTTTAGTCGAATACAAACAGTAATGACAATTTATACGTGCAACATGAATTTGGAATTACAAACACGTGCCGTTGAATATACATCATTGTTTACCAAACACAATTCATTAAGGTGGAGAAAAAATGTAATATCTAAAGATATATCTCATATTTATGCTGAAAATGTTTAGATCAAGTATTGTTGAACGAATGCCCGTTGTGGTTAATAATCAAATGCAGAGTTCTGTGAATGAACAACAACAACAACAACAATCAACTGATGACAATGTTCAGACAGCTGCGTCTTCTGAATCGTCAACATTGAATAGTAATTCAAAACCAGCTGAAGTAAGAACAACTATTTTGTCTGTTTTATTTTAAATATCAAAGAAAATGATGTGGTTCCTATTCGTTTATAGGAGAATCCTCTTCACATTTTGGACGAAATTCAACCCGTAGTAATCAATGATATAGCAAACGGTAACATGAATAACAATATATTGGACCTGTTTGGTAGCATATCCACACCAGTCGCAATAACACCACCGGATGAATTCTTATTTGGTTCTGCTTTATCAACTACTAATGTGACAAATAATCCAACAAACCTGAGTAAGAAAAGAGAGATTTTGACTGTTTCACAACGGAAGATTCTAACTGAGATAACTGCTGTATGGCAGTATGAAAGCGTTCTGAGGAAAAAGTTGGATGAACAAACTATTATTTCTGTCCCATTTTGCTACTTTTGCAAAAGACATAATACATTGTTTGTTTATTTCTTTGTTGTTCCATTTAGAAAGTAGCACAATTCCAAATATGAATGCGATTGATAAGAATGGTTTACGTGTCGTATTTAGTTTTGAACGGCATGCTATAAATTTAATAATAAATTTAGAAGCGTCTAATTTAACTTCGTCCATAATGAAAAATTTCGTATTCAAAGCAGCTGTTCTGAAAGTAAACTGAATCGTTTTATGTTTAACAAATAACGATATTTTTATGTTTTAGACGTTTAATCTCGAGTTACTTTCTCCAAGTGGTACTGATATACCACCTAATAACAGTGATAGTATTCGTCAGATAATCAGACTCAGCAATCCGAATAAGGTAAATAGTTTGTGTCGTTTATTTATCTAAAATGTAAACTATTTAAACCTTCTAGCTGAGTATAGTTTTTGTATGCGAGAAATTAAATTTTTCACCTACAAGATGAAAACACTACGAGTTTACGTGTAACGTTTAGTTTATATATTTCTTTTAGGAGCGTTTAAGAATGCGTGTTCGTGTCAATTACGTAATTGATGGTACATTGATGTTTGACGAAGCGGAATTAAATTCATTTCCCGAACAATGTTGGAATTAATCTACAAAATGATCAGTAATATGAATATGTGTCATGGTTGAATATAACAGTATTATTTGATTGTTTTTTTTGAATGAAATAGATGTACGGAAGTAAGATCATGAATTAAAAAAATTGTCTGATTGTCATTTTTAGATATACAAGTCTCAAGTGAATGATTTTTTTTATTGTCCATATGTTTTTTCTCCTTTTATTTATACACGATTGTCCATTGTTAACAGATTACAATATTTATTTTATAGAATTATTATTAAAGTTTTTTGCTTTTGGGAAACAATTTTTTGATTTAAATAACTTATTTTCTGGTGATTTCTGAGTTCTATTCACAGGCCTTTATGAATATTTATACTCAGTCTATTTATATTTTTATTGATATTTTTTTTATAAAATTCTTTTTCTTGATATTTGCAGAACTATTTTTCTCTGTTTTATGCATTTGTTTTTTGTTTCAAAGAATGTGTTAAAATTGTACAGTATTCAAGAGTGAAAAACGAATTGTTATTTTAAATTCAGATTATATACATATTTTTTCATCGTATTGTATGATCGCTTGAAATAATAAAAAAAAACATTTTTTCATTGTTCACAATCAAAAAAAACATTTTTTCATTGTTCACAATCAAAAAAACACAAATGTTAATTTATTGTTTTCATCCTTTCTAATAGGAAAATTAATTGGGAAAATTTTCTTTTTCCATGTTTAATGATCGTACTTGATTATCATATTGTTAGTATCAATTTCAATGGATAAATTTTATATATTTCAGGTTATTTTCTATTCGTACTATTATCTTGTTTATTTAATGAGTATCATTATTGGCGGTGGAACTGGATTTGTTGGTCGTCGTTTAATAACATTACTGAGAGAAAAAGGTTTTAATAATATCACAGTTGTATCGAGAGGTACTGTAAATACAGGTACCGAAAAGTTGACTTGGGTAGGTATTTAGAGAAAGATTATAGAAAATATTATTATTATGATTAATATTGTTATCGGAGGACGATGTTAAATTAGGCAAAGTACCATCTGACATTCGTGCAATTGTAAATTTGGCTGGGGCACCATTATTAAATTTTCGTCGAAGATGGACAGAAGAGTATAAAAATGAAGTAATAGAAAGTCGATTAGGTACTACAAAAAAATTTGCTGATCTCATCATAAATAAATTAGATAAAAAACCAGATGTTTATATTTCGATGTCCGGCGTTAGTAAGTATACATTAAAAAGAATTAATTCATACAAACATTGGAAAAAAAAGCTTGTATTATGTATGTTTAGGTTTTTATAAACCCGATTCAGTTAAAGAATACACAGAAACATCATCTGGTGGCGATTATGATTTTTTGTCACATTTGGCGAATGATTGGGAAAATGCTTCTGAACAGATTGAAAAAGCGGGTGTTCGTCGCATCATTCTCAGAGCCGGTATAAACTCTAGAATCAAATTTTCACTATACATGTATCCAACGGAGCGAATTTTTCTTTAAAATATTTAAATAACAAAATGAAACTTTTATCTGCTAAACATCCTTTTATGATTCGATCTTTTATTTTTTTTTTTTTCAGGTGTGGTGTTGGGTTCCTCAGGAGGCATGATTGCCTCTCTTTATTGGCCATTCTTTTTTGGTTTTGGTGGTCCGATTTCAACTGGTCAACAGTATTTTCCTTGGATACATATTGACGATCTTTGCTATTTAATTATTTATGCTATTGAAAATTCGAATGTAAGAGGTATTTTAAACGCTGTTGCACCAGACATAGTTACAAACAAACAATTTTCACAGACATTTGCATCGTCTTTTTATCCACCAAGACCAGCGCTACTTCCTATGCCTGGAATTGTGATGCGTTTTCTGCTCGGTGAAGATCGAGCCGTAATGGCTCTTGAAGGACAGAAAGTCATACCACAGAGAACATTGGAATCAGGCTTTAAATTCAAATATCAAACAATTAAAGAAGCTAGTCAACATTTGTCTCGATTGTTTATTTAACTATTTTTTTTTTATATTTTAGTAATACTTTAAAACGTTAAACGTTTATTTCTCACTGTTTTTCTATTTCTTCACTTTCTGTCAATCGATTAGATTTGAAATAAAAAAGTTTACATTTTTTCTATTTTTCTTACGTGTATATCTAAGTGTATTGAATATAGTTTAAAATGCACGTCAGAAAAAAAAGCATCAACGTATGACAGACACATATTATGTATTGTGTACTGAAGAATAACTGAAGTAATGTCATTATGAAAGAAAAAAAGTAAAATTTTTTTTCTATTAAACTGAATTTTGATTGTTTGTATTACTGATTGTGTACTACTGCATTTTTTAGCAAATATTGTGATAATGTAAAAGTATAGTTTGAGTATTTTGTTCGGCCTGTTCATCTATACTTGCGACAGAATTGCTCATGTAGTTGATCACTGCTTAATCAAAATGAATATATACTTATGTTATAGCTCATAAATAAGTTGCATTGCTGTGTTCTCTATAATAATCAAGTAAAAACACGAGAATCGACCAAAAGAAAATCCCTTATTTGCATCGTCTATTATTAATTTTCTTTCGTTATATATATATATAAGAAATAAGAGAAAGAAAGAAAAAGATATTCACCCTTTATATCGCTTAGAGTGCAATCAGTTTTTTCTTTTTCCTTTTTTTTGATCTTTATGTCGTAAGAATGATGAAATTTATTTGACTAGGCCGTTAAAAGGATATAAAAAGAGAAAATTCCTTTTCTGCTGTTTTACTGTATTCTATCGTATATATTCAACGTGTTATATGTGAATAAGAACATTTCTTTTTACATTGTATTTTAGATTGTATTTTACTCTTTTACAGATTACTATATCAATATCTGTCTAAATATCTCTTTTTTTTCAAATACTAATAACAATCTTTAACAATGTCTAAAGGACCAGCTATTGGAATTGACTTGGGTACAACATATTCATGTGTAGGTATTTTTCAACATGGTAAGGTCGAAATAATTGCCAACGATCAGGGAAATCGAACAACACCCAGTTATGTTGCCTTTACTGATAGTGAACGTTTAATTGGAGATGCAGCCAAGAATCAAGTTGCTATGAATCCATCAAGTAAGTTATTCAATTAATAAATTGTTTTGCTAGTTTCTATTTAACCTTTGCACAATTAATTGATATCTATATTTGCATATTAGATACTGTCTTTGATGCAAAGCGTCTTATTGGCAGAAAATTTGATGATCATACAGTTCAAGCTGACATGAAACATTGGCCATTCAAGGTTGTTAGTGACGGCGGAAAACCGAAAATACAAGTAGATTATAAAAATGAAACAAAATCATTTTTTCCTGAAGAAATCTCGTCCATGGTATTGATTAAAATGAGAGAAATTGCCGAAGCTTATTTAGGTATGTCTTGAAAATATCTGTCATATATGAGATATGTTTTTAGAACGTAAGCTATGAATTTTTGTTTTTTAGGAAAAAAGGTCAGTGATGCTGTTGTAACAGTTCCGGCATATTTCAATGATTCACAACGACAAGCAACAAAGGACGCTGGTGTTATTGCTGGTCTTAACGTGTTGCGAATCATCAATGAGCCGACAGCTGCTGCCATTGCATACGGCTTAGATAAAAAAGTTGCAGCCGAACGAAACGTTTTAATTTTTGATTTGGGTGGTGGTACATTTGATGTTAGTATTTTGACAATAGAAGAAGGAATTTTTGAAGTAAAATCAACAGCCGGAGATACACATTTAGGAGGTACAGTATTAAATACACTTTTGAATTCTGAACTATCAAATTTGTATTTTAATTTTAGGTGAAGATTTTGATAATAGAATGGTACAACATTTTGTTCAAGAGTTTAAGAGAAAAAATGGAAAAGATATTAGTGAAAACAAACGCGGAGTACGCCGATTGCGTACAGCATGCGAACGTGCGAAGGTAAATATTCCTGGAAGAGAAGTGATCACTTTAATATTTCATTTTTTTTCTAGCGTACACTATCATCATCATCTCAAGCATCAATTGAAATTGATTCATTACATGAAGGTATTGATTTTTATTCAACTGTTACACGTGCTCGATTTGAAGAATTAAATGCGGATTTATTTCGATCAACATTGGAGCCAGTTGAAAAATCATTACGTGATGCTAAAATGGTATAGTTTAGATAAGCTTTCTAACGATAGAGATAGTTAATCAAAATTTGTCTCGTTTTTCCAGGATAAAGCTCAAATACATGAAATTGTTCTTGTTGGTGGTTCAACTCGTATTCCAAAAGTACAAAAACTGTTACAGGATTATTTCAATGGAAAAGAGCTAAACAAATCGATTAATCCCGTATGTGCCACAATTGCTCGAGTTCTCTTTTCAATTTATGAATAAATTCTATTTATGATTTCAGGATGAAGCCGTTGCATATGGTGCCGCAATTCAAGCTGCTATCTTGACAGGCGATAAATCTGACGAAGTCAAAGACTTATTGTTATTAGATGTAGCTCCATTATCATTAGGTATTGAAACAGCTGGTGGTGTGATGACTGCGCTGATTAAACGAAATACAACCATACCAACAAAACAAACACAAACATTTACGACGTATTCTGATAATCAACCAGGTGTATTAATTCAAGTATATGAAGGAGAACGAACGATGACCAAAGATAATCATTTACTTGGAAAGTTTGAATTGAGTGGAATTCCGCCTGCACCACGTAAGTTACAGTTAGAAGTTGCTTTTCTAATGAGTTTATAGAGTTGATTAAGGACAGTTTCTAAGAATCATGTGAAAGATATGTTCTGTTATATTTTGATTGAATTCTAGTGTTTCGAGAGTATATCGGTTTTATGTTTACCTGGAAAATAAGCAAGAGCGGGTAGATGAATATATTGTTCAAGGATAGTTTGTGGCAAAGTGAAAAAAATTTAGTAATTAGTACCTTCTACAAAATGCTTTTAGTCTAAATTGTAAGCGTCGTAAAACTATCAAAGGAAAATAGTAGGCTAGAATTATATTTATACATTTTATTCGATGACAAATCATTCCGATATGTTTTCAGATAAAAGAACAATGTTCTAGAAGAACAATGTGTATTGATTGGAGATCTTGTCTTTCTCAGAAAACAAGGTTATAGCTAATCGATACGTGTAAAAATATACGTTTTGGAACATATTTAATTATGCATGGTAAAGTATCAGCGGATATTATTACAGGATGTTGAATGCATTTGAGATTCTATTCAAATTAATCTACTTATGTAAAAGTTTGACTGAAGCCCTTTGCAGATGTTCTAATAAACACGAAGACTTATATTGAAATCAATACGATCTAAAATCGTTCGAAGACATTCAAGAACCTTGCGTTCATTATTAACTGAAAATTTTAATCAAACCACTTTTAAATCTAGCGTATGATTGAATAAAATTATTTTCTCATCAAGTCTTCGTATTTATCTATGTGTCCATCTTTTGACCATCTTTTTTTTATGGTATCGACCTTTCCAAATAGTTGTTCTACCCATGACATCAAATAATTTTACTGAAATCTCTCACTTTATTAACAATGAGCTTAGCAATTGGGGTCGACAGAAATTTGCAGTCAGTTTTCTTTCATAAAATCTTTATCTGGTTTTTTCTAGGTGGTGTTCCACAGGTTGAAGTCACATTCGATATTGATGCAAACGGTATCTTGAATGTCTCAGCTTCGGATAAATCAACTGGTCGTGAAAATAAAATAACCATTACAAATGACAAGGGTCGATTGTCAAAAGATGAAATTGAACGTATGGTGGCAGACGCTGAAAAATATAAAAAAGAAGATGAAACGCAACGTGATCGTATATCAGCAAAAAATTCACTAGAATCCTATTGTTTTAATATGAAATCAACAATTTCTGATGAAAAACTGGCTGATAAATTGGGAGCTGATGATAAGAAAACAATTGAAGACACGATTGAAACAACACTGAAGTGGTTAGAAGCAAATCAACTGGCAGAAAAAGAAGAGTTTGAACATAAATTGAAAGAAGTCGAAAAACAATGTTCACCAATTATTACGAAATTATATGGTGGGGCACAAGGAGGTGGTATGCCAAATATGCCTCCGGGTGGATTCCCAGGTGCTGGCGGAGCGGCTCCAGGTGGCTCAGGTGCCGGTGGCCCAACAATTGAAGAAGTTGATTAAAGCAAAAGTTTGCTTTGAACTGCTAAACAAACAAACATTGTTTGTTTAGTTTAGAAACTGACGTCCTTCAGTCTTTGTTTTACCTTGTTTCGGTTTTGATAAAGTCAACGTGTTAGGTTCTTTATCTTCAAGCAGGTTAATTATCATCACACTATGTGAATGTAATGAAATTAAAACAGAAAAAAAGAAAGTAATAAGCCAATAAATAATAAGCACGAACGATTGAATAAGTTAAAGTGACAAATGAGACCTCTTTTATCAAGCTCGATAAAAAGTCGACAGCTTGCATCAGGAGTTGAGCAGAGATTGCTGTTTCCCCCATGACTTGTGAATTTTTATTTAAATGTGTCCTATTCGTAATTAAACAATCTAACCGAAATCTCTCAATTATGTGAGTTTTTTACGTGGAATTATAATTTAGTGGGACGAACAATAGACTATTGCTGTGTGTTCCTTTACTGTTTTGTATTTTACAAAGACAAAGTTTTCTTTAATCTCTATCTAAGTTTTCATACAAAACTGTCATCTATTCAACTGCTACGATGGTTACACAGGAACACCTGGAGGTGGGCCGAACGTTTTCTGCCTGGGCAAGGAATCTTTTTGACTGTTGCCAGTTCTGATGCCGTCATTTTCCGTGCTACTCGTTATCGTGGCAATTTAAAATTTTTCAACGTTATTTTGGACGAAAAAATTGAAAAATAAAAATGAAATCTTTTGAGCTGCAGGAAAAAACAGTGACATTTTCAAAAAAAGCAAAAAATTCATGTTTGATCGTTTTTTGAAATTCCAGAACCATTTTTTCTTAGTTTCCACCGAAAACGGAGTCTGGAAACCTAATTTTCGAAATTTTAGAAGCTAAATTGGACTCATAATCTGCGAAACATGAGCAGAATGGTAAAGGAGCTGCTGCTCAATTTTACGAACCTATCCAGTCCTACAATTTGGAGATAAAAATCTTTCTTTTACTTCATTCTGATCGCGATACTTGTGAGGAAAAAGTTAAGTATCCTTTGTGGGAAATCTTGTTTTGTTGTCAAGAAATTCAATTTTTTCAAAATTTGTGAGAAAACAATGAAATTGGGTTCGTATGTTTGCGTTTCCTGTATCAAAATCCAACTTTTCAACACAAAAAAGGCCGTTTTCCGAAGTACCGTTACAAACTGAGTTGAAAAATGTGTGTCTCGGGATTATCTCTAAAATGGTACGACGACATAGGTTCGTAAAGTTGGTTGGCGGCTCCTTTACCATTCTGCTCGTGTTTCGCTGGTTATGAGTCCAATTTAGCTTCTAAAATTTCGAAAATTAGGTTTCCAGACTCCGTTTTCGGTGGAAACTAAGAAAAAGAGGTTTGGGAATTTCGAAAAGCGATCAAACATGAAATCTTAAATTTCCACGAGTACCTGCACAATACAGGTAAAATAAAGAAATAAAGCTTTTATGTTTACTGTTTTCAAGTTAATTAAGAAGTAGGGAAATCTTAGTATGTCATCTTTACTGCCCTCACCCTCACCTCAAATCATGAGCTGATTATTCCTCTTCAATTGTGCGAATAAAGGATTTTAAGTCATGATGAATTACACAGATCCACTAAAACTAATCTTGCTCGAAAAGAGAAGATTGAATAGAACAAGTGCAGCGAATTCCGAGAAAAAAAACCGTAGTTGTAGACGAAGAATACCAACTATTTATTTCATCTTTATTTCTTTATTTTTTGGAATTAAGCATACAGTTCACAGCGGGCAATTTTGACTAGGCACATGGCCATATGCTGTGGAAGTGGTACATAAACATGTTTTTTATAGGTTTTTGAATATGCTCTTTCCAATGATGAGATTTTTGAAATCCAAAACTAAATTTTTCTGGGTTTTCGAGATATCCGGTCTTCAAAAAATCCAGGAAAAATTATTTTTGGATTTCGAAAATCTCATCATTGGAAAGAGCATATCCGAAAACCTATAAAACATGTGTTTATAGACTTTCGTCCCGCTGCTAAAACGANGAACATCCAAATACCCATCCAAAATTTGCTGCAGTCATCATCGAAAAACATCAATCGAAAACTTTCTGTAGAAAAATGTTTCAAATTATACATCATTTGATGCAGTTTTTGATGCTGATTCCAAATATCACATTAGTGTTAAATAAAAGTTTTTCTGAGCTGAGAAAAATAGATTTTACCTGGAAAACCTATAATTTGACAAAGGAGTGTTTGTGCTAATTTGTGCTAACATTGTTAACAGCTAATATACAGAAGAACATTCGGTGAAAGTTTCATCAAAATTGGAGTTTGGATGTGACTGGGGCACGCATTTTAGTGAACTCCCCTCCTCGAATAACTCGCTAGAAAAATGTTATATGCTTTTTTTTTCAGCTTAGAAAGTCTAAAATTAGGAA